CACAAAGACTCATTAATCTGATTTTACTCCACATCCATAAATGTTCTCCGCTCTCAGGAACATTATTCTACAGTTATGTCCTGTAACAACAAGGAAGCTTTAGAAACTTTAGTGTTTGTAATAGTTTTCATGTCTTTAATTATTCCATGTCTCCTTTAGCATCCATTAATCAACGTAAACATCTTATCTTTGCAAACATAGCATTGAAACATGTGACACTGTTAGTTATTATAAACCGAGTCAGTGATTGCAGAGTTTTCCTGTTTATTCAGTTTCCACAGTAAAAGTGAACCTGACACTGTAGCTGTGCAAACAGCTACTCTGCACATTTATCGTTTCATCCACGGCTCCTCTTTATTCCCACGCTCCCGTCTGTCCACCACCTTCATCTCCTTCAACATTTACTGTGCACAGCAGAGACTCTGCTCTGGAGCAGCAGAGACTCTGCTCTGAGGCAGCAGAGGCCCTGCTGTGCAAAAATGCTTTCACACGTATAGAAAACATTTCCTACTTTATGCAAAAGTTTAAAAAAAGAAAGAAAAATCATGCACAACCAGAAACATGAACCAAATCTGATCAAATCCCCAGAAGAAGACAGCAACACTGCAGCATTGGGACCATGGAGCTTAAAGAAACAGCAGCTTCACTCTTAAGACGTGAATGAACTCAGAGGTGGTTTCTCCTCCACAAACACACAAACACACTTTCAGAAGACGTTGTGTTTGTGAGGCACGAGAGGAAAGTGTTCGACTCTGTGCAGCAGCAAAGCTGAGAGTCAGGTACAAAAATATAAAATACGATCAGCTTGGGTAGAAACATGTATGTTTGATGCTTCTGCTGTATGTCTGTAACAGGACACTAACACTACACAGCGCTTTAAACGCGTCACAATAAAACAGTCAGTAGAAAAAACCTCAGGAAAGCGTCCCAGCTCTGTAACCTGTCATGTTTCAGACGCTGCAGAAAGAAAACGGACTGTCCAGCAGACCCACAAACTCCAACGTGCAACCACAAACTACAACCTCAGTCTTATAACTTCATGTCACGCACATCTACAAAGGTCAGAAAGTGTAACAGCTGGACAAAAGTAACTATTCATCGACTTCACAACCTCACAGTTTGGTTTTTACACAGTGCAGCACATGATGAGGCTCATTCAGCTCCTGTGTGTTTCCACAGCGTCCAGCTCACAGCTCAGCCCTGTGGGAACAGAAGAAACACACACGTCAGCACATTTCAACAGTTTTACACATTTGTCGCACAGCTTTCCTCCTATTCTGTGCAACAGCGAGTGCCACACTATCTGTTCACGTTAAAAACATTAGTGAGCGCTCCAGTATGTGGGTCAGACGCCGAAGGGGAACTCCAAATGTCCCCTCACTGTGAACCTCGCCCTGCTGCTCCTATAAAAAGAGACTGAGACTGCAGGATGTGCCAGCCCGGCTGCTGATACCCAGCAGCAGCTGAAGCTTTTCCATCCTCACATAAATGCCTGCCTGACCTTTCACTCTGACCGCACACACAGCTGATCCAACCATAGTTCACCTCTGATATCGCATTTTTATATCTATCAGTGTTAGTTAGCTGGAGCTGCAGGCTGTACAGTCACATCTCTTCTTCTTCTGTTAGATATGATGCACAGCATCCTGTTAGATCACTGACTTCATGCATTACATGAAATGTGTGGTGGAAAAGCCAAAAATCAGCATCGATTTTAGGAAATTCAAACATTCATTAAGGGGTGAAACAGTCCCCATATTGTTTTCTATTTTCTGATTTATAGTTTTTATTCTTATTTTCTTTTCCTCATTGGAATTTTTTATTATTATTTTGTCCTGTTTCGGTTTTCATGGACAAGGTGAGACCAGTGTGGGTCACGATGATGTGGAGAAACATGTGTTTGATAACTCCTTCATAAAATCAGCTGCAATAACTACATGTGATGTAACTGTGCTGTGAGCCTCTGTCTGTGTCTCGTCCTTTTGTTGTTGTCACCATGTTTTCAGAACTACTGCACGGATCATTTCACTGACTTACTGTCGCCATAGTTTGCAGTTTGCAGCATATTTTAGGTCACATTATATTTTATTGTATCCTATAAATAAATGTTTCCTTGGTGGTTCCTCTGAGATCAGTTATGTGTGACTGTAAAACTCTCCACTGCTTCAGTCAGATACTCACCTGTCCAGACGACCTGCTGTTCATCGATGCTCCACCATGAAGCTCATAGTCGTCCCGTCAAATGAGGGGGGGGCGATGATCCGGGGCCCCTGCTGGGAGGTGATGCTGATGACAGGCTGCTTGATGCTAGAGAGGCCCTGCTGTGGCCTGTTAGCAGCCTGCTGCTGAACACCTGAGGCTACCTGGGAAGACTTCCCGGTGGACATGTAGAAAGGACTCTCCACGTGCATGCCCTCAGTCTGCTGCGAGGAGCTTTTATCGCCGCTGTCCACCTCTGCCTGCACCGACATCTGCGACTGCAGCAGCGCCCTGGCAGGAATCACTGACGGCGTCGACACGAGACCCGGGTAGATCATGTACGTGTGGCCGTAAATGCCCGAACTGAGGGCTAAAGGTGAGATGGGCATGGGCACAGGCGTCATGGGAGGCTGTGGCATAGGCACATCCACATATTGACCTGTTTCTGGATCAAAGAGACGCTTGGTGGCGGGCTGCACTGGTGTGTCTACCAGGTAGTAGTTTCCAGTGCTGGGATCCAGCAGCATTTTCCTCTGGGTGGCCTGGAACGGGTCCAGGGTGGGAGCCGGGGTGATTGCTGGAGAGAAGCAGTAGACCTGTGGCTGATTGGCGGGCATCCCGAGCGGCAAAGAGTGGTAGATAGTAGCTGAGGGGATCTCTGGTGAGTAACCAGCTGTGTGCTTACGCTCCTCGTGCCCTCTGAGCCCGGGTTCCAGGTGTCCTGAAGGTGTGGGTGGGTGTGCCTGGGTGAACGTATAGACGGATGCTTTATCAGCAGGTGGCTGTTTGCCTTTGCTGGGCTGAGACTTGACTGGGATAGCGAGGTAGTTCTCATTGTCAGTTGAGTACTCGTGTGCAAACCTGTCGGCCTCCTTCACGTCGGCGTCGGCGTTCCCAGCTGACCGTCTCTCACAGACGTTGAAGGATGCGGGCAGTTTGGGCGACTTGGGGACAAAGGTTTTGGTGCTGAAAGGTGTTTGTGCGACGGTGCTCGGTTGGGATGTCTTTGAAGTTTTGGAGAGCTTGACACCGCCGGGGGCTTGCACTGACTTGGGCCTATCATCACAGCCCACTGACGTGGGTTTGAGTGGGTCTTTCTCCTCCTGCTTCAGCAGGCTGTCACCTGCTCGTCCTGCTGGGGGCTTGTCTGTGTTGGACTGGGAGTTTCTTCTGGGAGACATGTCTGCGCTGGGCGTCCACGCAGTCTCCTCGTCGTGTCCTGGATGCTCCTCACATGCTATCAGCGAAAGCACGTGGCTGTCTGTCAGCGGCCGAGGCTCGTTCTTCCTCTTCCACTCGTTCTTCTCAAACACATAAAGCTGCTCCATGGTTTTCACGGCAGCCTGCAGTTTTTGCAGAGCCACCTGGTTTGGCACCTTTGACTTTTTATCAGTGATATCCGAGACTTTTTCTTGCTTCTTTGTAGATATTCTGCTTTCACTTCTTAAGTCGGTGTTTGAGGGGCCTAGAGATGCGTTTTTGACGCCCTCTGGAGACGATCTGTCCACGTCGAGTGACTCCTGTTTAGCCCCGTGAAGGTTTCCACATTGTTTTCCGTTACTGCTGGTATTCACAGACTGGCACTTGATCACTATAGGCGACACAGTATTAACGCTTTGATTGGGCACTTGCTTGTTTTGCTCTGGATGTCTGTCAGCGGAGGCGCTGTGGGATTTATTCTCGTTGTTATCCAAAGAAACGAAGTGATACGAACTTTTAACCAGCTTACGCACGTCTCTCACCTGGTAAATGGGAGTCTGCAGCTTCCCCTTGTTATCTCGAATGTCTCGAACCATAAAATGTGGAACTTTATCTGAAAAGTCACCCTTCAAAGCTGTAGCGAGCGCGTGGGATTTGGCGTGATCTGTTCGGATGATGTTGCAGCCTAAATTAGGAGCGCGCAGTTTGGAGACGGCGCACGGCTCGGTGTTATCGTCTTTGACGCGCCTCAAGTTAATTTGAAGTTCTGGAGATTTGGATGTGGTCGCAGAGTCTGCGACAGAGCGCACTTTGGCTCCACGTCCGTGTCCACGCGTAGAATAATTCCTGCTCTGCAGCTGCTGCGCGGCTTCGCCTTCGTTCGGCAGCATTTGGATATTTGGCACAAATAAATGAGCCATCTTCTTCAGTTCGCTGCTGCCCGCCGAGCACAGACTCCCCTCGGCCAGCGTGTCGTCAGCTGCAAGCGTGTCCTCTGGTGTTTGATCGTTTTCAGGATCCTTTTGAAATTCTAGCTCGTCATCCTTCCAGCATCTGAACGCGCTATTTTGGCTGCGATGCAGCGTGCTTCTGGATGCGTCCACTGCGCCTTTTTTAGTATCAACTCCACTTTGTTGTTTCCGAGAGTCGCTCTTGGCATCCGCTATGTCCCCTAACTCATTCACGCGCATTATGGTGTAGTCAGAGCTGCTGTCGGAAAGCTTGGAGTTGTGCTTCCCTCGGACGTCGTCGCTTTCCTGGTGCAGACAGCTGGGAGAGGGCGTCTGCTCGCTGATTTCGCCTCTCTCCATCTTGCGCTCCTGCTCGAACTGCATTTTCTTAGAAATGACATTTTTGATGAGACTCGAAGCAAACACGGCCTTCTTGTGCGTGTCTTCCATGGTTTTAGAGGGCGGCTTGCCGCCCCCCCTGCTCTGCCTTGCGTTGGTAACTTCATCCGTGGAACGTGATCCTGCTGCGTTTTGTGCAAAGTTAGTGCGTGGTTCTCCCGCAGGGATTCCCGATTTGACGTTGCAACGAAAATTCAGCGTCTCTGTCAGCCTTATGACGCCACTGTGGCCCTGACCAAATTTCCCCATCAGCTCTATTTTCTTCGTAGATGACGATGCGCTGTGGGGAGGTAATATCTCGCTGGCGGGCGCTTTGATGATGCCCTTATAACCCCTTTTGTCTATGCTTTTGGCTATTTGAAACGAGGCCGCTGAGCTTTGATGAGAAACGAGACTTTGGTCCATATTCATGTTACCATATTTCAGGTCCACAAACGTGGACCACCTGTTTATCCCCACGGCATGCTCTGACGCAGAGGACTCACTGGAGGTGCTGAAATGAATGGCATCAAAGTAAGGGTACGCCAGGCTCTTGAAGGCTCTGGCTGTCAGAGTGCGCACCTCCTTGTCAGCGTCGTCCAGCTCGCTGACAGCACTGGACGTGCCGCTTGAATATTCGGGGACTTCTTTCCCCCTTAATTTGCCGCCAAAGTGTAGGCGCCCGGGCGCTGCTACCAAACACTTTGCCGTGTCACACAACGTCTCTGCCTTCCCATCAACTCCCCTAAACACATAGCGACTCACATCTCCGGAGCGCCTGGCATGATAAAGGATCTTTTCCTGTTCTTGGATGTTGCTGGGGTCATTTATAGCTCGAGAGGTGGTTCTGATTGACAGGTGAATCTGTCCGCCACTGTTGCCACTGCAGTGCTGCTGCTCGGGCTTTGACACACTCTCATCTGAGCTGGTGAATTTGGCCGCTTCGCACGGATCACTTTCCAGCAGAGTGCTGACTGTTGCTGCTGCGCCCTGAGAGCCAGGCTGGCGGCCGTGCCCCCGCTCGCCCGCCGCGCCCCCGGCCTCAAAAGAAGCGTAATCGGCAAATGAGTAAACCCGGTTGTCTTCTTCAACGTCCCAGCTCGTGGAAGAGCCCACTCCGAGCTCGTAGTCCTCCTCGTGGTCAGAAAGTTCCGAGAGCTGGATCTCGTGCGTGGTAATATAATGGGATTCGTCCTCCGTGGCGCACGGAATGCAGTCATCAGAAAGCACCAAACTTATACCATCGTCCACTTCGTAATCATCCTGCTCACTTGTCTCCCCGAGATAATTATCACTAGCGCGCAAATCCACGTCCGGCTGCAGGCTCGCGCTGCTTTCCGTGTTGGACACCTCGTGCTGCTCGTGGAAACGCTCCGACTTTGCGTTTGAACAAAAAGGGTCAGCGTGATGGGGCTTAACGCCATCTCCATATTTCCCGACTGTGCCATTCTCTGTCTCAGTATCGACCTCCGGTTTGCGTCCCGTTGCGCACGGAGCTCCAGCTCCGCCGTCGGAAACAATGACAGACATTTGGTTTGTCTCACAAACGCGAGTTTTCACATCCACTGAGTCCAAATCGACGTATTTCCTTTCATCGTGCTCCTCGGGACCATCTTCTGTGGGGTCTGGGGGCAGATCACTCACCTGGTGACGTGTCATTAATAATTCCACAGCTTTTCTCTGCGAAGCTCAAGTAGCA